CATTTTTAATTATTTAATAATGAGGGTAAATTGGTGATTTCAAATCCATTTCTTCTCCTTCTTCACTTGCTGGCCAAATGCAGTCGGTGGCGGCGACTGCGCAGAGCTCTGAGCGTGCCGGTCAGACATGGACAAGGGAGCCGACGGGTACTGCTCGAATGAACTTCCTGTGAATTGCGAGTCGGCCCAGGAAACGACACCGTCCTAGTATCCCATGGTTGATGGAGACGATGTCCGGTCCCTGTCGTTAGTGGAATCTTATGCGGTGCTGAAGCGGAAAGAAAGGTCGTCGCCAGGATTGGGCTGTAACGACACCCCCTATTTCTCCGCGGGTAGTAACTGCTGTTGCATTCCAACATCTTCTTCTTGCTTCTTGAATTCATCATCATCATCATCATCTTATAAATCCACTCCTTTCTTCAAAACTGGATCAGAGATCTTCGATTCAACAGTGTAAGTGTACAAAGTTAGTACACATTAAAACTTTGTTGGCAAATTTATTTTTATTATTTAGAACTTAAATTAGGTTAAAGCTCTTGGACCATTTCCAATAATATGATATTTATTTTGAATGGCTCAAATTAAAAGATTACATGTGAAGAGGAAGTCAACAGAGTATTCAATTATTTGGAGCTAATCATAAGGGGAATTCTAAATTGTGTGGTTGTGGTTTGTTTATTCACATAATCAGCAAGTAACGTGGATCAAGATGTTTAAAGGAGCACTACTATAAAAGGAAAATATTCAGATAATCTTATTTATTATATGAGGGATCTCATCTAACCTGTATCGTTTTTACTTGGGTCAGCAAAAGCATCTCTTGAAGATCGTCACGGCATGCACGTTCAGTCCTGAGTAGATGTTAGGAAGGTGTTGTGGTAGTAACGGTTGGTAGCCTTATGTACGTACCTCTTGTAAAACTCCTTGGTGAACATCTATAGTGGATTGGGCAAACGTGGGTTGCCCCGCAGGCATAGGAGAAGCGCTCCGAACTGCATAACAATTTATTGTGTACTTGATTTATTTTCTGCACTTAATTTTCGTTATTTATTATTGATATATGACTTAATTAACGGATATGATGATAACTTAATATAAAATCAAGTAGAACATTAGTATCGTCTTGCATTCAAGATTCACGGCACACTTTCAATTGGTATCAGAGCCCGGAGACTTAAATTATTAGTCTATCGATCTGACTATCTTGTGCTTCTTCAACTCAAGTTTTCAACGATTTTTATTGTTTTATTTATTCTATTACTTTGTTCAATCTCACGGTTTGTTGAGTGTTTCAAAATGGATCGTGGTAAGGTTCTTCCCCAGTTAACGGGCGATAAATATGCTTATTGGTAAGCACGCACACGAACGCATCTAAAAAGCTCAAGGAGACGCTGTTTGGCATTTTGTTGTGATTGGTTGGACTCATCCGACTAAAGCTAGTATGAGTGCAAACGGTCCACAAGTGTGAAAACTAAAACTGAATGGACCCAAACTAAAATAACTAATGCTGGAAATAATGATAAAGCACTAGATACTATTTACCAACTAATACATGAAAGTCAATTTCCCATAGTTGCAGGTTATGGTTCAACTAAAGGTGCATGGGAAGTCTTGAGTCAACCTAATAGGGCACGAATTCAGTGAAGCAATCAAAGTTGCAACTGGTGCAGTCTGACTTTGAAGAACTTCGGATGAGCGAAGAAGAGAACATCACTAGCTTCCATAGCCGAGTTCAAAAATTGGCGAATCGTGCAACGGTCCTTGGTGAACCTTTTACCCAGGCAAAACTGGTAAAGAAAATTCTGAGATCTCTACCGCCCAGGTTCAGTATGAAGGTCACTGCTATTCAGGAACATGATGGCTGGGAAAATAAGACTGTCACTCAGTTAATGGGAAACTTTCAAACATATGAAATGGAAATTCTTACCGATCACACTAAAAAACGAAAAAACTTAGCTTTTGTTGCTGAAGAAAGCAATGCTGCCTCTGACTCAGATGAACCAGCTAATGATACTGTTGTGTTTTTAACTAAGCAATTTTCTAAAATCTTGAAATAGGTGTCAAAGAATTCCTGCAACAACAAACCACAAAAAGGATCAATGTCAAATACATCAAAAGCTGGCCCTAGGACGGGCTCATCAAATTTCAAGTCTTCTGTCTCACGTCCAGGGCAATCCAAAGACAAATCTAGTAATAAAGGGATTAAATGCTATGAGTGTGAAGGCTTTGGTCACGTCCAGCGGAATGTCCCACTTATCTAAGACGTAAGAAATCTATGTCAGCCATTACCTGGAGTGACGACGAACCTAAGACTGACGCAGCTGGATCAGACATAGAAGAAATTTCCGGTAACTTTGTAGCATTCACTGCTCGTTTTGCAGCGTGTTCAGAACTTGGAGACATAGCTGATTCAGAAGAAGACGAATATGGCTCCAAGGAAGATTTAGATTTACCTGCTTTGTCTTATGAAGTAGAGTTTAATAAATTGTATCCCAAGTGGGAAGCCCTACGAAAAGCTAATCGTCAATTGACTAGTGAGATAGGAATATTAGCCAATTCTAGTAAAATGTACCAAAATCAAGTAGCTGATAGGGATTTACTACTTAAAGAGGTGTCTGATCGAGAAGAGAGACTTAAACTAGAGGTACAGACCCTAAAGCAGGAGCTGAGCACCTTCAAAAAACAAATCTAAATGATGGACACAACCTCAACACTTGACCAAATACTTGATTCACGAAGAAAGTCTCCTGCAAAATTTGGTCTGGGTTTCTCCGGGGGTACTTCAAAAGATAAAACTGTATTCGTCAAAGCAACAGGACCAGATCTAGTGGACATACCTGAATCTAGCTCAGCGACACAAAATAATGAGTTTGACGAAGAACAAATTCTCGCTGCTTGAAGGCTTCAAAACACTCAGGAAAGTGGTACTCTTTAAATCTTCTCCTGTAGTTGGTATCACCTTAATACCTTGAGTCTAGGACTCCTTTTTTTGTTTTATCTATTTTTTGCTGCAATTTTTTTTAGTACTGGTATGCTATTTGAGCTTTCGTTATTTGCCCCTTTAAATGTGCCCTAAATGAACTTTTCTTGATATTTTGTGGGTATATTGGTATTTAATCATGAATTGTCAATTTCAGCATTTTTTTTTTTTTTGTTTCGGTTGTTTCAGGGTGTTCCCAAAATGTCTCCTCTACGTTGTTTTGGCTTATTTTTGAACTGATAATCCTATTCTTTGCTTATACTGACTTGTTGGTGTGTTATGTGTTAAACCTCTGTATTCTCTATGGTTACTTGAATGAAAATTTAATGCAATATGTTTAATATTTGTATTCTCCTGTTTTACTATGTGAATGTGTTTTTGTTGGTTCGGTCATGACCGTATTTGTATTTGCTTGTGTGCTTATTGTTCTAACTATTATAAATTCTTGCCTGAAGTTGCTTCATATGAATCTTTGCCTGAATATGCATTACTTAAATGTGCTTACTGTCTTATTTACCTTTCGTTTTTGAGTGACACAATTTAAAGTTTGTATTATTTGTGTGTGTTTTCCGTGATATCTGTTATGAATCTATACCTGATTCTGCTTCATATGAATTTGTGCTTACATTTGCTTTACCTACATGTGTTTACTACTTGGATATGCTTTATTTGTCTTATCTGCTCCAACTTGATTTGTGTGTCTTTAAGTTCTGTGTTTCTCGTTTCTAATTTTTGTGCAGGTTCCGTCCAATCGGGAACCTCGTCAGACTCAGTCCACTAATTTTGATGTTCACCACTCTTTTTGTCACTTATTTTGCAAAAAAGGGGGAGTATGGATAAAGGGGGAGTTTTGGTAAAACTGTTGGAGTTTTGGCAACTTTTATGGATTAAGGGGGAGTTTTGGTAAAACTGTTGGCATCTTTGGTAACTTTTTGTTGGAATAAAGGAGGAATTAAGAAAGGGGGAGTTGTAGTAACTAAATGGTTTAAATGAATTGGTTTATGACTGCTGGTGATGATTTGCTGCCGTGACTGTAAATATTATGGCTCTTATTTTTTGGTAAACTCTAATCTCTATTATGAAGTCAGTATCTCTCTATTATGCAGTTCTCCTTTGGAAGAATAGTTTTTATTTAGTTGTTCTATCTATTTATTATGCTTTGAATTGTCTGAGTTCTATATTATTTTTGTGGATCATCTGAGACTGTTGGATGTTGGTATGCTTCTGGATTCATTACAACTTGCTTGGCTCTCTCTACTTTGGGTTTTTGGATGGAAAATGATCCAAAAGAGCCTTGGTAATTGCTTATTTATTTCTTATTTTAGGTTATTGGCTAGCACACATACTAAGGGCTTTTAATAAAAATTATTTTCTCTGGTTTGCCCAAAGTATTAGATGCTATAGTTTTTGCCAAATAAATTGTCAAAGGCCGAAATTGTAAGTGTACAAAGTTAGTGCACATTAAAACCTTGTTGGCTAATTTATTTTTATTATTTAGAACTTAAGTTATGCTAAAGCTCTTGGACCATTTCCTATCATATGATATTTATTTTGAATGGCTCAAATTAAAAGATTAATGGGATCCAACATGGGTAGGCAACAATCAAGGAGTGATCCATTTTCTCAAACCTATAATCCAGGTTGGCAAAACCACCCTAACCTCTCATGGAGAGATCAAGGTAATGCAAGACCAATGGGACCACCCGGATTCCAGCAACAAGGACCATCAGGATTCCAGCATCAGCAATACAGACCTTTCCAATAGCCACCTGCACCACAACAGTCTCAACTTCCTGCTCAGGAGAAGAAGCTTCAATTGGAGGAGATGTTCATGCAATATATGGCTAGCCAGGACACTATGATGAAGAAAATTGATTCAAAAATTGATAAGGTTGCTTAGTCCAACCAAGCATCCATTCATAATTTAGAGGTGCAAGTAGGTCAGTTGGCTAAATTGGTTGCAGAAAAAGATCGAGGTAAGTTTCCTAGTACCACTGAAATAAACCCTAGGGAAGGAGCTATGGTTGTCACGTTAAGAAGTGGTAAGATATTGAATGAAATTATGAAAGAAAATGAACCCATGAGGGTTGAAAAAGAGAGTGATAAAGAAGAGGAACAAGTGCCTAAAGAGAATTCTAGTGATCAAAACCCCACTTCTTCTACAGTAAAACCTTATGTACCCCCCATTCCATATCCACAAAGGTTACAAAAGAGGAACCAGGATAATAACTTTAAAAGATTTTTAGAGGTTTTTAAAAAATTGCATATTAATATTCCTTTTACAGAAGCACTTGCCAATATGCCATCTTATACCAAGTATATTAAGGAAATTGTGTCTAATAAAAAGAAATTGGAAGAGTTTGCTACTGTGCACCTAAATGAGGAGTGTAGTGCTGTTTTGCAAAGCAAATTACCTCCTAAGTTAATGGATCTAGGAAGTTTTTCTATTCCTTGCACTATTGATAATACTATTGTTGATATATGTTTATGTGATCTAGGTGCCTGTATTAACTTTATGCATTTAACTCTTTTCAATAAGATGGGAATAGCTGAAATGAAGCCGACAACAATCTCTCTTCAACTTGCTGATAGATCAGTCAAATACCCACTTGGAGTAGTGGAGGATATCTTGGTAAAAGTTGGTAAATTTTTATTTCCTGCTAATTTTCTGATTCTTGATATGGGTAATGATACAGATACATCTCTTATACTTGGTAGGCCATTTTTTTTGACAGGAAGAGAATTAATTGATATGCCTTTAGGGAAATTGATTTTTAGAGTAGGTACAGAAAAAGAGGAATTGAATTCTCTATCTCTAAAGCTGTAAAATTACCAACTTTTGATGAATCATGTCTTTTTATTGATGTTATTGAGAAACTTTCAGAAGAAGAATTTGTTAAGCATTCACCTAGTGAAACACCACATCAACTTGAACTTAAACCACCTTCATTGCGGTTCAAATACGAATTTTTGAGTAACAATGATACTTTTCTTATGTTTTCTTATGCTCATTTACTTCATGCAAAAGAAGAGAGATTGTGGAGAACATTGACTAAAGCTTGGCATGACAAAAATAATTTTTGGAGAGAATTCAATGTTGGGCAAGAAGTTTTGTTGTCTAATTCTTGTCTTAAGCTTTTTCTAGAGAAATTGAAGTCTAGATGGTTTGGTCCTCTCATGGTCACTAAAGTTTGTTCCTATGAGGCCATAGAGATTGAAAGAGAGAAAAAGAGACCATTCATGGTTGCTTCACCAAAAGGCAGCTCCGGAAGAAACTGGCAACTAACAGGGAAGTTTCCTGTTTATTTCATTTTCTCATACTTGCTTTTATATTTAACATTGAGGACAATGTTGAGTTTGAGTGTGGGGATGGGAAAGTAAGATTAGGGGATGTTTTCTGCAAGTTTTATGCAAAATAGGCAATATCAAAAAAACTTCTGCATTTTTTCCTGCAATTTTCTGCATTAATTTTCTCTATTTTTCTGCATTTTGCTACAGTAAAATTCTGCATTTTTCTTTCTACATTTTTTGCACTAATTTTCTGCATTTTATGGGATTTTCAGCGTCATTTTTTTTCATTTCTCTGCAATTTTTCAGCAAAATAAAGTTTAAAAAAATACCTTCTAATGACTATGTTGATTGGGAGATAAGTTCTAGAGTTTTGGGAGTGTATAATATCAATGAATGTGTTTGGCTATATGTATGCTTGCATAGAGTTGGTAGTCAAATTCTGTCACATAGTGAGCTTTTGAGCCTAGAGGTTGTCCACTGCAACTTATTTTCATTTTGAGTGTTTATTTGCCTTCTTTGATTGTGCTACTTCTAGAACTTGCTTCATACCATTTCAGAGCTACATGTTATATGTGTGACACGAGAATGATTTAGGCATTAGGATTTAGCCTTATAGCCTTTAAAATGACCACATCCCTATAGATGTTATTTTCCCCTAGTAAACCATTTTGAGCTTTATAATAAATATAAGACATTTTTCTTCATTAGCTAGTTCCAAAGAACCTTAACTCATAAAAGAAGCCTCTTAACCCGTCATTGAGTCAGTGGATGTCATTATTTCATTTATCTGTGCAAGATGAACAAAAGTGATGAAGTATGAGTGAGATTGGAATTGAAAGGTGATTCTACAATTGGGTTGCTTTGGGTGAGGAATTGGTTGTGATCAAAGAAAATGAAAATGGTAAAAAAAAAAAAAAAAGAGAACAAAATGATATGTTCTAATTTTGTGGGTTGAAAATCTTGATAGCTCAAACTTTTGTGCTCATTTTATTCTTAAAATGATTTGTGAGCAGTGAAGGCATGATAGAAATTTGATGATTATGAGAAGAGTACCATTGAGGGTGATGTGGAAATGAGGAGCTATTTATTCGGTTTTATCAGAAAAAAGGAAAAAAAAATGAAAAAAAAAACAGCAAAAAAATGAAAAAAAAAATATGAAAAAGAGATGGAGGTTTTGAAAGTTGTTTATCAGTGAAAAGGATGAGGAGAATGAAGTAGTGATGACTTGTTTTAGTAGAGTTCATTGTATTGGTAGAATACAAGCTCTTGCTCTTGATATGGTGAAATTATGGCTCTATTGATTCCTTGGACTTTATTTGTATTTCCTTATATCCTTTCTTTCTTAAACCACATACCCTTGGCCCCATTACAACCCAGAAATAAAGACCTTTTGACTCGTGTTTTTCATATAATTTTGGTAGTGGAGTTTTGGTGGACAAGCAAGCCTATGGCAAGTGCACTCTCAATAGAGGATGATGTGTACCTTTCTTATACATATATTTGTGAGAGATTGAGTGAACAACCGTGAGGACTACTATTCTCTATTGTCTTGTGTGCGTATGACTTTGAACTCTCATGAAGTATTATGTGTTCACAAATTTCTTTGAATTGAATGCCTAGTTGACATGGTTATGGTTGGTAGTTTTATTTCATTGCATAAGTTTGCTTGGGGACAAGCAAAGCACTGAGTGTGGGGATGTTTGATAAGCTTAATTTATAGGCATTATATATAGTAATTTTAGTAAGTGATTTGCATAAATAAATTAAGTTTTAGGGTCGATTTTATTATAAATATTATATTTATTTATATGTTACTAGTTTAGGCTAGTTTAGACTTTAGATGGGTTTTAATAAATATTAGGATAATGTTACGTTTTTATTAATTTAAATAAGTTTTTTTTTTATATTTAGGTTTAATTAAGTATATCATTAGGTTATTGTTTCAAAAACAAAGTACATCATTAGGTTATAATTTTTTTATTTTTATATTATTTTGTTTTGTTTTTCTTAGGGAATTGCGCAACAGTGAGGAGAAGGAATTCTAATCAGAGGAAATCAACAGAGTATTCAATTGTTTGGAGCTAATCAGGGGAATTCTAAATTGTGTGGCTGTGGTTTGTTTACTCACATAATCAGCAAGCTAAGTAACGTGGATCAAGATGTTTAAAGGAGCATTACTATAAAAGGAATGATTGTCATTATGGAAAGTCACTGATTTTACACTTGCTATATTGAGAGAGTCGAATTCATACTGCTATATTAATATTCAGATTATCTTATTTATTATATGAGGGATTTCATCTATGCTGTATTGTTTGTACTTGGGTCAGCAGAAGCATCTGTTGAAGATCGTTACGGCATGCACGTTCAGTCCTGAGTAGATGTTAGGAAGGTGTTGTGGTAGTAACGGTTGGTAGCCTTATGTACGTACCTCTTGTAAAATTCCATGGTGAACATATATAGAGGGTTGGGCAGAAGTGGGTTTCCCCGCGGACGTAGGAGAAGTGCTCCGAACTGCATAACAATTTATTGTGTACTTGATTTATTTTCTGCACTTAATTTTCGTTATTTATTAATTATTATTGATAAATGACTTAATTAACGGATATGATGATAACGTAATATAAAATCAAGTAGAACATTAATATCATCTTGCATTCAAGATTCACGGCACACTTTTAATGCGATCGATTAGAAAATCAAGATTTAATGGCGTTTTCATATCATTCTTAGGCTTGAATATTTTCTTCCTCACTTTTATTCTTGTTTAAATTTCCAGAATGTTATTTCTTGAACAATCCAGATATTTAAATATGATTCTTGGCTAGAACTTTTAATTAGGGATTTGGATTAGCCTAGATTAGATTAAATGACTATTTTCCATGTGTTGATTCTTCCAATTTCAGTTTAATAATTGAACTTGATTATATTTATTTTATGTATTTTAATTGTGGATTGTGTGACTGGCCATTGCATAATTCAAATATTAGGGTTCATAAGAAGAACTGACAGGTGAATTATGAACCTAAAACTCGTAAGATAAACACAATTGACCTAGACTAGCTAGACATAGCTTTAGGTATTTGTGGTGGGATTTGATTGTTGCTTAATGGATTCAATTAATGCTGGTGAGATATCGACGGATGATCACAGTTAATTGGATACAACCTAGTAGCTCGACGGAGTATTATGATATATATGAAGCAATCATCACAATAGTCATAAGAATCAATACTTAGGTGAGTTAGTTAATTATCTAATAGGTGAACCCCAAATCTCTAGTCTTCTCTCAATTGGAATTTTCTTTGCTTTTAATTCATAAATATTCTTTTTAATTACATTAATACTATTTATTTGGGATTTTCCTTATCAACAAAATTGTTTATTCAAGATAACAGTTAATAGTGTTCTTCGTGGGATCGACCCTGAAATACTCCAGGAATATATACTGTGATTGACTCTGTTCACTTGCAGATTATAGCAATCAATATGTGAAGAGGAAATCAACAGAGTATTCAATTGTTTGGAGCTAATCAGGGGAATTCTAAATTGTGTGGCTGTGGTTTGTTTACTCACATAATCAGCAAGCTAAGTAACGTGGATCAAGATGTTTAAAGGAGCATTACTATAAAAGGAATGATTGTCATTATGGAAAGTCACTGATTTTACACTTGCTATATTGAGAGAGTCGAATTCATACTGCTATATTAATATTCAGATTATCTTATTTATTATATGAGGGATTTCATCTATGCTGTATTGTTTGTACTTGGGTCAGCAGAAGCATCTGTTGAAGATCGTTACGGCATGCACGTTCAGTCCTGAGTAGATGTTAGGAAGGTGTTGTGGTAGTAACGGTTGGTAGCCTTATGTACGTACCTCTTGTAAAATTCCATGGTGAACATATATAGAGGGTTGGGCAGAAGTGGGTTTCCCCGCGGACGTAGGAGAAGTGCTCCGAACTGCATAACAATTTATTGTGTACTTGATTTATTTTCTGCACTTAATTTTCGTTATTTATTAATTATTATTGATAAATGACTTAATTAACGGATATGATGATAACGTAATATAAAATCAAGTAGAACATTAATATCATCTTGCATTCAAGATTCACGGCACACTTTTAATGCGATCGATTAGAAAATCAAGATTTAATGGCGTTTTCATATCATTCTTAGGCTTGAATATTTTCTTCCTCACTTTTATTCTTGTTTAAATTTCCAGAATGTTATTTCTTGAACAATCCAGATATTTAAATATGATTCTTGGCTAGAACTTTTAATTAGGGATTTGGATTAGCCTAGATTAGATTAAATGACTATTTTCCATGTGTTGATTCTTCCAATTTCAGTTTAATAATTGAACTTGATTATATTTATTTTATGTATTTTAATTGTGGATTGTGTGACTGGCCATTGCATAATTCAAATATTAGGGTTCATAAGAAGAACTGACAGGTGAATTATCAACCTAAAACTCGTAAGATAAACACAATTGACCTAGACTAGCTAGACATAGCTTTAGGTATTTGTGGTGGGATTTGATTGTTGCTTAATGGATTCAATTAATGCTGGTGAGATATCGACGGATGATCACAGTTAATTGGATACAACCTAGTAGCTCGACGGAGTATTATGAAATGTATGAAGCAATCATCACAATAGTCATAAGAATCAATACTTAGGTGAGTTAGTTAATTATCTAATAGGTGAACCCCAAATCTCTAGTCTTCTCTCAATTGGAATTTTCTTTGCTTTTAATTCATAAATATTCTTTTTAATTACATTAATACTATTTATTTGGGATTTTCCTTATCAACAAAATTGTTTATTCAAGATAACAGTTAATAGTGTTCTTCGTGGGATCGACCCTGAAATACTCCAGGAATATATACTGTGATTGACTCTGTTCACTTGCAGATTATAGCAATCAATATGTGAAGAGGAAATCAACAGAGTATTCAATTGTTTGGAGCTAATCAGGGGAATTCTAAATTGTGTGGCTGTGGTTTGTTTACTCACATAATCAGCAAGCTAAGTAACGTGGATCAAGATGTTTAAAGGAGCATTACTATAAAAGGAATGATT